TTTGGAAATAAGAACTGATCATTTTTTACAAGTTTATATTGTTCAGTAAAGGTAATTGTTGTTACTTTCTTTTCTAAGCAAAGGTTATATTGTTTTGAAGTATTATTATAAGCTGGGGTTGTTTTCTTATTTTCCTTGTTATTTTTTATTATTTTGTTAGTTTCCCTGTTATTTTTTTTTTGTTTTTGTTATTTAGTTTGTGTTTTTGAGATCCCATATGAGTTTTGATAGTGTTATACTAATTGCATATTTTTTTTTGTTAAATCATATTTTGTGTGAGTAGCTTCTCTGTTTTCAGGGGCCATTTGTTATTTTTACATATTTTTTTCTGGATTTATCTTTGCATCATACATTAGCTTAGTATATTATTTTGTAGGCAGTTATCACCGAGCACACATTGTTTAGCAGTTACAGGTGGTAGTGGTGTTTATATGTGGTGTGCTAGTGATTTTTTTTGTTGTGATTTTTATGAGTCGAAGACCATGGTGATGTACATGGGAGATATCCCCAAACCACTGCCATCATCATTGACAGCAACCCTGCTAATTTTACCACATCTTTTGTATACTTGGGCTCATAAGTTTCTAACAATGGAAACCTCCATATGGACATCAAGAGAAGTTGCTGGCTGATCACTGGTGTCATGAAAGATCTCTGGAGACCACTATAGCAATGTAATGACATCTTGTGATGCACCAAGCTATGAGTTTATAAAGCCACCATCCACTTTGTGCTACTATATGGCACCGAGACATGATCTTTTAGCAAGACCCTTGTCTCCTACATCCATAACTTCAAGTCTTGCACCCTCAGGAGCATCAAGAGGGTGCACTGGTCCAGTTTTGTGTCCAATGAAGAGTTCTGCACCATTGCTCAGTGCCATGTTCACTGGGTTGGTCATGTCCTGTGATGACCTGATGACCACCCAACCTTAATCAACTACCAGTTCAACCTGCCATCTGCAATGATGACCTTGTGGCAGACCACATAGCTGTTGAAAGGATGTTGTCCGCCAGGTGATTAATCTGGTGGAGGATGTTCCAACACGCTTCCAAGACAGTGAGAGCTGGAGGGACAAGGTGAGCTCAACGCCTTTGTGGCATGAGATTAAGCAGCAGCATTTTTTTATGACTCACAATATGTTTTCATTGTAGCAACAGTTGAGATTGAGAGTGACTTTATTGAATGTCTTGTGCAGATTAGGAAAGCAATTGCTGATGTGGTTGATGAATATTTTATCTACTTTATATATACAAATGCTTGATCCTTGATACTGAGTGTTTAGAAAGAGTAAAGAAGTTGTGAAAGAGGAAAGGTCAAATGTAAATGAGAAAGTAAACAAGATAGAAAAAAAGAAAAGAAAATTGGGTGAAAGAAAAGGAAAATGAGATGGAGATGCAAGATAAATTCAAATAGACAAAATTTAATACGACTTCATACTAATGTATTAATATAAAAATAAATTTATATGATCTAATATTTATATAAAAATTTAATATCTATTTCATTCATTGCAGTGTTGAATCATGCTGCAAAATATTTTTTGTCATTATTCAGATGTACATTTAACCTTTAGCACACTGCATTATTACAACCCTTTCTACTGCATTCTTTTTCAAGACCTCTCAGTTGCAGTATCTTTATTGTTAATTTTGTTCAAAGTTGTTTTCTGTTGCCGTAGCAGGATATGACAACACAGCTATGAAATTCAAACAGACTATTGTTCAGTGATCAGAGTCAACTTCAGCGACAGGATAAAATTTTTGTACACCAAATGAAATCGCATACAGTATGATAAAGATTAAAAAACATGTTGTAAATATTTTAGTTCTATTAATTTTGGGAACTCTTCTCTCAATATCAAACTGAGCCTCAAAATAAAATATGTGAACATAAATGTTCAAAAAATTGTTTATTTTAATATTTTAACGCATCCCATTTTAGTAAAAAGTTATTACTTTCTCCCTGAAAGCAATAAGAAAATTCTGAGCTTGTTGCTTAAAGTTTATTTTTTAAAATTCAGATACTATTTCCAATTTTGTTTTTAATTATTTTACCCCAAGCAAAGCAATAAAGCCACTAAGACACAAGAGGTTAGAGAATATGAGAAAAAGTACAATTAAGGAGAGAGGACAATAAAAGTGTGAAGTGAAGACGGAAATATACAGCTATATTTAGCTGTCCCCCCACGAGGGGTCGCATGTGGCACAAGGCCGAGTTTTATGTGGTCACCCGAGCCTGTAGGCCCAGCCAAAAATATAGCCTTCGACTCACCCAGGCGAATTCGAGAGCTGTCATAACCTCCCCGAACGAAACCTTGCCCTTCGGCAAAGCTTCGTCCGGGCTCCTCTCTGCTAATGCAGAGAGTTAGACAGACGGCGGTTGCTGTAAGTTTGGTACAGAAATATACAGCAAGACAGTCAAACACTAAATTATAAAAAAATGGTTTCTCAGTTGGAGGATTTGTGCATCTTTCTGGTTAATAAATGAATCCTTTGAAAATAAATATTTAGCATTTTTCAACCAATAGGTTGCGTTCCTACTGACAATAAATAAAAATGTTTCGTAATCCCTTTGAAGGGTATATAAGCAAAGTTTCTAGACAAGCCAGTGAGGAGAAGGGTCGGCAACATATGACAAGTTCACAATGCCTTGGAATAAAAAAAATTTTCTTACTCATTCACCTGTCTTCCTCACCAAGCTTACATTTTCCTCCTTACAGACAAAGACTGTAAAAACACTCATAGACACTATGAAAAATGAAGTTGTAAAAAACACAAAGATAAAAATATTTTATATTTAAAAACCATTCTCACCTTTTTCTTTGTTTTTGGTTGATTCAAATCCGCAACAAAAGAATAAAAATTAAGAAGACAGAATATAATGATTGACATTGCATTTAAATTTTTGAAGATAAATGTTGACAGGGAAGCAAGAAGCCAGAAGAAAGTTCCATAAGTGAGAAATACAATAGAAGAAACTATTAGCATAGAACTTACAGTTTCATCTAGCCATTTCAATTATAAAATGATGAGACTATTGTGGGTTGTAGCTGAGTATCAGAAGGTAATTTATGTAAGGCAAAGATTATGCGTGCTTATTATGCATTATCCCGCAACACGTAGATCAAATAAAGAATATAAGGACAATTTGTATTGCAAGAAATTACTAAAACACAGTGGTTAGAGATCCAACAATAAAATATGCTTAATTTATATATACAATAGATATACATGCAAGGATAACAGAATGTTTGTTGATTATGGCAATTGAGACAAGGTTATGAAGAATGTTCATGCAGAAATTTGGTCAATAAAAGTTAATGGTTTTGATTTGTTAGTGAAATTAAAAATAATTTGGTTTATGCAAGAAAAAATCTCAAATGTGTTCAGTCAAATATTATTGTGTATACATGTGTTACTTGTTAGTTAGAATTTAAGTTGTGAAGAGTTGTTTGCCTTTAACTATTTGGCTAAATTGATGAATTATACAATTACTGTTTGTGTAGTGAAAACGTTCACTTTTTAAGTCAATTTTTAACTGCTGTGTTGAGTTTGTTGAGAATTTTGAAGTGATGTTGAGTCAGTGAAGTGACACGTGTGGAGTTTGGTAGCATCTCACAAAACTTGATGACTGACTGACTTGAATTGAGTCATGCGGCTGTTTATATAGACTGTGGTGTCTAAAAATCGGCTCCAGGGAGTTTCGGCGGGAAAAAGGATCTGTTTTGACTTTGCTACAGTTTAGTGTTTCTTAATCAATAGAAGATTGAATTTACTGAAACGAAGTGGTGATTGGTTAAGGCTGTTTTTTAGGGAGGAATACATCTTTCCAAAAGTGGTGGAAAGCTAGTGTGGAAGATTCCACAAGATCTTCCTGCCAATCAAGTATTGTACTTAAATTCCTAAAGTCTAGATACCAGAGAAGTAAGTTCATCAGAACATTTAAGTATTTATAGAAAAGGCATAGGGAACCTATGCTATGGTGGTGGAAAAGAGACTGAAGCCGAGATGCCAGGTCAGGACAAATAACATTGCAGATTCTTCTTGGGATTTTATCAAGAATATCTAAATATATAGCAGGAGCATCAGACCATTTATAAATAAAAATTTAACTGTTTTAAAATTTTAACAGATTAAAAATCATGAGACTCTTTTTCAACTTTACCATGTTGTATAGAACAGCAATAAATAAGGAAGTGCATTGTGGCTGAGGTTGTTGCATATTTCTTTCTGATACCTGTATTGAAGTCTAGTAAAAAACCTGGATTTATAATTTTAATTTTCACCTCAGAATCTTATTTAGAAAACAGATATGATACAATCACCTTATCCGACATTTCTCATATTTAGAATTATACCAGACTAAACTAGATTTGGAAAATATGTAAAAATGATAACAATATTTATATAAATTAATGGAGTACTAATATCTATTTATTTATTTATGAATTATAAAAATAAACTACACTAAAAAAATATTTATATAGATTATTCTTTCCTATTTTTAAATGACATACATTTTTGTTGATTTAAAAAATATCTTCATGAAAATTGTTATGTTACCCTTTCCTTTTTTATATGAAAAAAAAAACTTTTAAAAATTAATTATTTTTCAAACGAGGCAATGGCGGTTTTTTAAACTTTTGATGAAGAACTTTGGAAAAATACAAAATAAAAAGCTCGTATCAGATTAAATGACCAAGTTTTATGAAACTTTTTAGTATTTAATGTTAATAAAAATATGCTTTTTGTGAAAGTTCCATCTGTAAAACATAAACGTGATAGGAATGACTATCCTCTCCCTCGCACTGTTTTTCCTTCCCTCAATGATTCAATATAGCAACCATAGCAGTAGTCGTCGTAGCCGCCGCCGCCGCAGCAGCAGCAGCTCATATTATCATCCGGGTCTCGGCCTTGGCCGAGAGAGCCTCGCTGTGGCGTTTTCCAAGTCCCCATCACCACCAACCACCATTTTTGTGGTTATTTTCAAGAAAAAATATGTCCATCGAGACTCCATCAGCGACTAATATTCCAGTAGAAAATGTATCAGGTGAGTAACATGAAAAACGAGTGATAGCGCTTGACATCTTTGACTCGCGTGTGGCGCGTCCGATGTGGAATAAAGGGGTGCTAATTTTCTCTGGTATAGTTCCGCCATGTTTTGCAATGGGCGCAATGATACGTTTTAAGTCAACTGGCCACCACCGTCTCACATTGGGAAAACAGACTCAGGCGTCGACGGTGGACTCTTTGCATGCTCCTCCTTTTAGACCGCCTATGTGTGTGTATATATATATATATATATATATATATACCCTATATATATATATACATACACCTATACATACTCACACACATAGTGTATAAGTCTTGGATTACTTTCTTGTTTTTCCTTTAATGTCTTCTGTCAACCTCTGTCCTTTGAAAGTGATTTACTTTTTACCTCCATACACTTCATCACGCTACTTCGTAAAAGGCGACATCTCTTGAAAACATTCACTCACTTTTTCTTTTTAGGGAATGCGCACTTCTGGGATAAAAAAAAAAACAACAAAACAACATCTTTCTTGTTATTCAATTTGAGGGAGAGGATTTACAGAAAAAATGGTAAAACAAAAGCATAAAACAACTGAAAAAACAATGGACAATGTAGTTTTGTTTTAGCTTCCTCAAGTTAACTATGTATTTCAAATAAAACAACAAAACTAACTAAAAAGTGAACAAAATTTTCTATTTATTTTTAAAACTAAATTTTTCTTTTTTTTGAAAACATACCTGGCTAAATAATTTAAAAAAATATACACTTTATAATTTATTCTAAGATTAAACGTAATTAAGTTCACTTTTTGCTCCTTGAGAGGTCTACAACAATCATTATTTTTCAAATTAAAAAAAAAAAACTTCAATTTTAACCTTGAAAACGTGTTTACAAAGCAAGATCTCACTTTTTCTTTGTTAATTTATTTTATCTTAGTTAAAAATTTGCCGTACAAGGATGTTTAAAAAAAAAATTAATACAGTCAGATCGTTAATCACGTGTCTTTCCTATTTTAATTTTGAAGCCAATTTTTATGGATGCGCCATGAAAAATTATTTTAAGATGTTTTAAAAAAAACATCTTGGTTATTGATTTAATTGTTAATTGATTTTTTTTTTAATACACTTTATAATTGTCACTTTTAGTTCATTTTTAAATTATGAGTTTTCTTTTGAAAATAAAAAATAAAACAAATAATTTTTACAATTTACCTGAAAACTTTTTTTTTGTACCTCGCGTAACAAATCACATAAAAAAAGTGAAAATGTAATTATTGAATATATAGACTTTCACTAAACAATCGATTTAACACATTTTTTTTTTTAAATAAAAAAAAAAAAAAGCGATGTAAATTGAAAATTATTCTTACTTTTTAGTTTTTATGTATCGTACTTAATCTTACCAGTGTTTTTTTTTTTTTTTTTTTTTGTCTGAAGTTTAATAAACTGAGAATTTTTAAAATTCTGCCTGATGCAGGTTCTAATTTTTATATTACTGAAATATACTAGATTTGTTGACCAACTGATGGTTTGGGTGTAGAAAGGAATAAACTTTAATTCTCAAGAAACTCTGAAAGTAAAATCAAATGAAAAAGTAAAAGTAAAAAACATCTTTGTGAGCTGTTTATTTCTCTTAAGTTGTTTCCCTTTTTTATTGTAACAATCGATTTTTTAAGAACTTACGAAACCAAGAAACGTTTGCAGACACACACACACACACACACACGGATGTGCTGATAAGTTCTTGGCCCAACTAAGCAGATCCCCCTCCCCCCACAATTCTGATGTATGATCAACTTTTGGGGAGTGGATCGGGTTAAGAAATGTTCACTTTACCCGCTCGTGTGTGTGCGTGTATAAATTTGATAAAGAGAGACGTCTTCGTAATTGTCATTTAGTTTTTTAGTCTGTGAAGATTTCTTGGTAAGAGGCACTTGACGGATTTGTTTTTACTAAAATTTGTTTATTAACTAAAAAAATAAACATCGTGAAATATTCTCCTCTTTAGTAAACATATTGGTAAGTTTTCTTTTCCAAAAACAATAAAAAATGTGAAGTGAAGAATATTGTATTTTTAAAATTTTTTTTCTTGTTTCAATATGTTCAATAAGTAAAAAAGTGCTACAATTATTAAAGTAATTTAACAATTGATTGTGATTTTCGTAGAAGAATTGGGTGACGTGACTTGACTTTCATTCAACATTCAATAGTCTTACTCACTCTTTCTACTCAACTTTTGTCTTAGGCAACATTAAAAATTACACATCACAACATTACTTTTGGACTCGGAGGATTTTCTCTGATCAAAGATAAGTGACGTGGCTAAGATCATATAACTTCTTAGGAATATATGATGCTTATGAAATTTAAGTTAACTTAGTAACCGCCATTTTGTCATAAGGCCATAATAGGTCACCTAGTGAGGATCGAGCTCAGTGTAGAAACAAATTCATTATCGCACTACCGCAATTTTCGCCCAAAATAGTGTCTAAACTAAACATAACTGTGATTGAAGGCAGAGTTGGTAAAAAAAATCATTGAATCTAAGATAAAAACATAAAAATCTATTTTAGTAGTAAATTTTTATTTTTCCAGGAAAAAAAAATTGTAAATTTTGTTTGAAAAATTAAAAAGATCCACATACACACTCAATACAGCTTAGAAAATAAACAGGAATATATACTAACAATGAACCCCTTGAAAATGGTTGATGAGTTGACTGAAAGTGCTTGGGGACAATAATCAGTATGGAGAGTTTCTACACCCTCTTAGTCATCATAAAAGGAAAACAATTTTTTTCTTATCTGTTACATTCAATGAGACATGTATAAAAGAAATGTGTCTGTGTGAAAGACTTCAAAGAGCACAGAGATACTACACTATGATCCAAGGGCTGAGGAGTGAACTTTGATCTAGTCAAAAGTACCCATTCATATGTAAATAATCCTGTTTTTTTACAAGTATCTTGCGTGTGTGTTGTTAAAAATTATGGACAAGGATTTTTTTTGTTAATTCTTAAGTCAGCTATTAAATAGAAGATATGTTTTGGTCTCAGTACAGACATTGAAATGCTGGTGAGTGCTTTCAACCCTGCTTCTGATCATCAAGATCCAAAGTTATTTAAACTTAATGAAATACTTTTTCAAACCCAATGTTAGCTGTTACACTTTATGGTGATATTGTGGTCAATATTCTTCATTGTTTAAATGTACCATCTGTTGTTCAATGCATTTAAAACTGCAGTTCCACTATTGAAGACTTTTAGGTTTGATGATTAAGAATTTGTTTATAATAATTATTATTATGTTGTATATTTAATGCTACAGTATATGCTTTATGTTGATAGATCTTTTTATTGACAAATGACATGTTTCGTGATGTTATCAAGCATGGATTGCACTGTGATCCATGAGGTGGTAGGTTAGCTTATGGGTTACAGTAGTGTTTGTATGTTCTACATACAAATTTGTGTATTGTAGGCAAAGCAATTCTCCAGCAAGTCAGTCAATTATGAGCCATGTGTGATACACGCTTAGGCGATCATGTATCTTTTAATACATGATTCGCAAGGCAGATTTTTTCCTGCAGTAGGTTGCCATTTCTTTCTGTGGTAGACAAGTTGCCATCAAATGCTATAGAACCTGGTCTGTCCTGCTATTTACCCATAGCTGGTGGAAAAAGAGGATTCATACCTTTCCCAAGGGTATTAGCATGTAAGTGAATGTAATGGCTTTGACTGGAATTTGACCTCGGCTCTCCAGTTCCTCAATCTGAGCCGCTATCCATTACTCTACCATTGAGAATTCATAGATTATATTGGTGTGATGCTATGTGAGTTTTTTCAGTGTGGGCATTGTTAGTGTTGAGATTAGATGATTTTAACTTTTTCAAAGCAAATTGTTAATTTTATTTATTGTCTTCAGCTGGTAATATGTCTTGGCATATATTGCTTTTAATGACTGTTTTATTTATATTCTGAGTGCATTTTGGTCCAATAAAATAGGTCTATTGTTTTATTGATTTTATTACTTTCTATGTTGTTGGTAATTGGAGTTTCATTAGTTTTATTTGTTGATGGCATTTAGATGTTTCTAAGTGTTTGATTTTGTTTGTAAAAGTCTGTGGGAAGAGGAGATTTCATTTTGCTTTGATCAAATTTTTAATTATTGCTATTTCATATCTGTCTATATTTCTGAGATGAGGTATTATGTACACTATTTACATTATTCGGGCTATTGTCCTCATCTTTGTCATCATATTTATTGCAACGTTTCAGTTGTTGTATACTCCAGCCTTCTTCAGGTGGTTGGAATGTCGAACTGAACCCTTTGTTTCACTCACTGGAGTAGACTGTTCTAGTTCCATGTGCTATGTCTAATGGATGTCAGTTATCTTCTGCTTAATTCCCTCTCCAACTTCTCCACTGCCTTAACCAGGTATTGAACTTGCACTCTTTGGGTCCTGTCACTGGATCTAACTAATGCCTTTATCCACTGTGCCATGTAGCCTGATAACTGATATCCATTAGACATGGAACTAGAAGAAGGCTGGAGTATACAACAACCGAAACGTTGTAATAAATATGGTGACAAAGATGAGGACAATAGTCCGAATAATGTAAATAGTGTGCTATTTCATACCTGTGCAAACATTCGTTATATTTAAAGTGGCTAGAGTTTTATTCATCTCTGATTTTTTAGGGGTGAATGAAGTCATCTGTTGTCTTGATCTTGTTCCTTGTCCTTCTCTTTATCCTTTCTCAAACACGCCTCTGTAATCCCTTGCATGCTATGACACTCCTGTCTAGTTGGAGTGAAATGTTTAAAAAAATTTTTTATAGGTGAAATGGAGGAACTGAATTGTTTTCAAAGGCAGGTTTTTGATACTGTATTTTCTAAGTGTGACATACAATAGTTGGAGAATGTAGACCCTAGAGGTGACACCATTGAGATGCCATCAATCTGGGTTGCCTTGGTAATCTAAGAAAGGTCTATTTCTATTCAGAGTGGTAAATGTGATTTTGAGCATAAGGGAAGACTGTATATATATGTTAAAAAATGATATGTCATGAACAGAGGCATTAATAAAAAAAGAAGCTTTTAGTATCAAAGGGTAACTCTTGTTGCTCCATTTTACAGAATGCTGTATATGTAGGAACTGTGTGTGGATGTTCTCCTATAGTGGTAGGTAGAATGTTATAATTTTAATCCTTGTTTTTTGATAAGGTGTATATGGGGTAGAGATTTAAGAAGTGATAATAGGGTCTTAAAGCTATGTTGGGTTTTTAAATGATATAGTCAAAAGAAGCATTTCTCCAAATGTTAAGGTGGTGTGTTAGTGCATGATATAAAATATATATATTGCTTGCTATTTATCAAACTTAACATAGTGTGGGGCAAAGATTGAGCTTCCTGCAGTATGAATGGTATGCAAATAGCTTGCTAACCATTGCCACAGTGCACGCTGACAAACTGTATACTACAAATAGGATTTGAAACTGTAGAGTTATGATGATAGATTTAAAGTTATTCACTTGTTTCTTGCTTCTCTATATCCAGATGTGATTACTAATTAATATGCGTGATAATTTGTTATTTATGAATTTGTATCCAACCTAGTCAAAGATTTAATGTAAAGACTGTAGTGAAACCAGTTCCTATTTTCTTCACAAATAAGTTTTTATGTTGTTTAATAAGATCTCTAAGGTTTTTTATTGTATTGTAATGGTTATGGCATGGGAAGTGAAATCAGTATGCTGGGTCTAAGTTCTAACCAAGGTTGTTGCATTCACTTTCACACACACACATACACACGCAAACAAATTTAAAATTCCAAGCATCCCTTGTTTATGCACATGTGTAGTCACACCGACATAACAAATTTAGTCTAATGAAGCCCTAAAGGACAAAACGTGTCACAAGTGTACTTTTTCAACTTTGTCATATATATTTTCCCAAATACTATTAAGAAAGGTATGAACCTATTTCTCCCTCATCCGTGCCAACTGTGGATTAAATAGAAGGGCAGGTTATGCTCTTTAGTCTTGGTGGCAACGACTTGAGGAGCTGAATTTTAAACTGTTTGAGTGTGTGTGTGTGTGGGGGGGGGCAACTCCACCCTGTAAAAAACCTATTTGCTGCAGGAAACATAACAGTAAAATTAGTGTGATGAGGCCTTATACTCTAGATGGAGTGAGACGGATGCTTCTATCTCTAAGATTTTTAAATTAACCAAAGTTTTGCCTTGTAGCTATTATTGAAATGCCAAGGAAATTTTTATATTTGTCTGAAGATGATGAATTTTTTTTTTCAAACATTGAGTGAATAAATTCATGCCTGCTGAATTATAGAACCATCGATGCTTGTAAAACAAAAGACACTCACCAAAAATGTAAATGGCATGATCAACCTCTGTCATGGAAGAAATATCTCCAAAATGCATGGATTTTTGATCTTTTATAAATTTGTGTAAAATAAAATTAATAAGTTGAAACAGCTTACATTGTTAACACTTGATGAAGAGAATAATCCATACATCCACATAGAAATTTAATACAAGGTCGAGTATTGTTTGTGGGATTTGACAAAAAATGCTCAAGCCTTCCTGGCACACTCCCTTTTCGGCATGTCTCAGGTGATGGGTAATGATTCCAGTTCTCTATTTGGGAGATGGCCCCTGGGGTTTGAGCTAAAATTAATTTTGCCCCCGCACACAGCCTGGCTGAACCAAGTATGAAAGAAGGCTTACCAAATGGCATTAACAGCATTAGCAGTGATATTTAATTTGCATAACAATTTTTAAAAGCATATTTTAATAGATATTTCTTGTGTTTATTTTTAATTAAAATTTTAAAGTTGCCATATATAAACAGTATTTTTTTTCTTAATTCATCGTTTTTTGTATAGAAAAAATTTATATATGCTTTGTCAAAATTCACTCATAAGTTAGAAAAACCTACAGTGTTTATAATAAGCATTGTTGTTATCTGCTATTTCGCATTACTACAAATTAGTTGAATGAAGCTAAAAAAAAATTACAGAATTATCTGAAGAAGTCAAAATAAGTTGCTTAATTAGATTTTCTTAAGCAAGTGAAAAATAGTAGGTTTGCAGAATTAATTTTATTATTATTAATTAGAAATTATTCAAGCATTTCTCTGGCTTATGACTATATCATGTTGAAACATTTGGTTCTTGTAAGATCACTGCAGTTAAGCAACATTGAGCCTGGTCAGTACCTAGATGGGTGACTGCTTGGGAATACCAAGTGCTATAAACTTGGATGTGCAGGTGCTGTAATAGATACCGGCTTGAAACTAGAAATCTGAGAGCCAAGTTCCAATCCCAGTCATGTTTGTTATCTCTACTTATGCACAATTACTCTTTAGAAAGGTATGGATCCATCTCTTTTCTCAGTCAACCATGGGTTAATAAGGACAATCTAAAAATATTTTCTGGCTTTAAATAATGTGAAAAATGTTGATAAGCCATAAAAAACAAATCAATCAAAATCTTACATGGTCATCTCTATGCAGCTAAGTTTAGGGTATGAAAATTAAGTGAATTCATGATAATGAAAAAAGGACTTTAGAAAATAGTTGTCTTGCTGAAAATGTTGTTTATACAGGAATTTTATTGATGTAACACATCTTCTATTGTAACTTAATTTTTTGCTGTTCTTAGGATAGGTATTTAGCTAGTTCCATAAAATTAATGTGGATTTGGCCTGATACGAAATGCATAAAAACTTAAACTCTGTCTATTGAGTAAGTAAACAGTTTTAATAGCATATTGGATAAATCAAGACTTTTCTTAGACTCTGGATTCAGAAAGCTTTCCACTATATACTTTCCTTTTATATTTTCACATTTACAACTAACCATTGTTTCTGCATGTTTTTTAATTGTTCTACATGGAAATAATAGTCTTCACCAGCATCACATCAGCCTTTTTCATTGTGGTCAACACTAAGCTTTCTTTATCACAATGACAATTTTTTTTTAATCATTATTTTGATAATGGTGTACTTCTGATTTTGTAATTTTAATGATTTAAGTTAATCATTTTGCTGCATTCTTAAGAAAATGAAAAAAATACAGTCATTTAGAATTTGGATAAATAATACATTGTCAATTAAATAAAGGGTTCAGTTTAGAATATCCTGTAGATTAATTGGATTGATATTCACCTGAGGAAAGCTGGAGGGCACAATAGCCAAAACGTTGGGATAAAAACAAGGACAATAGTCCAAATATAAATAGTGTAAATAATGATAACTCCTCATCCCAGAAATTCAGACAAAAAAATATGACATTGTACTTTGCTGAAAATTTTTCAAGCAGTTTATTAATTTTCATATCAAGTGAAAATAATTTTTTAGGAGATACTGTTTTAAACAATCCCTTGAATTTTCTGCATATTTTATTACAGGAATTAATTTTTCAAAGGCTTTAGATTATTTGATAGCTTCTGATGAAACTTTGAAAAATTAAATTCCTGCTGGTCTTGAAACAAAATTCTTCAATATCATTGATCTAAATTCAAGTCTAAACAGTTCCTGTGGATCCTGTTTTGGTAGGTGATACTTAAGAATTATAAAATCCAAAATATACCATTAAAAGTTGAGATTAAAAAAAAAATTGACAGCTTGGTGCTTGACTGAATTTACTACAATCACTTTTAACTTTGGTATAATGAAATCATTTAATGGCTTACTTCAAGGCTGAGGTAATTGTTGATACTTCACCAGTATCAGTGATTGGCTTTTGAGCCCAGAATTTAAAATGCAGATTTTCAAGGTCAGCAGGTAAACCCATTTTACTTAGAAGATTGGTGTGATATAGTCTATTTAACCTTAGTGAACTTAGACCAACAAAGGCTATTCTTTTCATTTTTACCTCTTCTTGACAAATCTCTTTATGTCACTCAGAAAACATGAAAAGTTTGAGACAAGCCAAATACAGTTAACAAACTGACCTGCATCTTTAATAACAGGGTTTTTGGATGAAGAAAATGGTGGGGGGAAAAAATTATTTAAGTTGTAATAAATAATTTAAAGAGTACAGCTTAAAATTACTGGCACTCTAGTGTCCCTGTATAATGTCAGGTAAAAAAATGAAATGCATTTTTATGCCTTTACATGTCCACTTTTATTTGTGTGTGTGTGTTTGTGTGTGCACATGTCTCAAGTAAATTGTTTGATTGATTGATTCATTCATTTTCTACGGTTTATCAATGAAAACATACTGCCAAAATATACGCAATATGTTTGTATATTTCTTATGGCTATAAACATTACTTTTAGTGGGTACACATGTTTGTGTTGATATCCCTGTTATTTGAAACCCCAAAACTTAATGACAACTAGCCTACTCCTTAATACTAAAAAAAACCCCTTCTGCCAGGAATTGAACCTGTATTTCCTTTTCTCCATCAGGAGAGCCAAAATGTGCCTTGTTAATTAGGACACACTTTGGTTGAAGGAATATTTTCCCTGATGGAAAAAGGGAATAGAGGTTCAATTACTGTTGAAAATATAAAAGGAAAGTATATAGCGAAAAGCTTTCTGAACCCAGAGTCTAAGAAAAGTCTTAATTTATCCAATATGCTATTAAAACTGTTTTGCATACTTTTCATTAGTTAGGACTTTTTGATTCCTCGGCTGGTTGGCATTAATTTCACTATTTAAAATAACTGGGATTTCTTCTCAGACACATGTACCCAGCAAAAATAATGTTCATAGTAATAAAATATAATGATGGATTTAAACAAAAAAAAAAAAATTATAAAATTATTAATAAAATAAAATTGTTCATTTATATGAATCTGTACTTGGAGTTTCATGGAATTTTTTACATCCAATCCATGGCAAGTTTTTTGGTAACTAAGTTTATTTAGTATTTTCATTTTTCTCTGTAAAAAAAAATGTTACTTTTATGATGTTAAATTTTTGAAATAGTTTTGCTAATGACATAAAATTGATGTGTAATATAAAATTTTGAATTTGGCCATCTATAATTAAATCAGTTATTATTGTATAGTTACATGTTAATAAAATAGTGAAGAGTTTTATTTATTAACTTATAATTTTAAATTCACAAGATCTAATCCAATTGTCTATACAACCTCTGCATCAATCTATGTGTAATGAAACATTGCTGCTTAAAACATGACCCTGTGTAAATAGTTCATCTCATGAAGAGCTCCAATTATTTAAAAACATTATTTTATAAATAATTTTTAATATTAAAATTGTTGATGATTTCAATTATATTTACTGTTAATTAATAATTATGACTGTGAACTCACTACATGAGTATGACCATTGTTGACAAGTTTTCCATCTACCCTGGTTTTGTTATTCGGAATTTTCCTTCTCCGAGGCCAGTTGCCAACCAAGGATGAAGGGGTCAGTCACTCCTACTATTTATCCCATAACTGGGAGATTCATATTTTTTACAAGGGTGTTTGCAAGTGAATGTAGATAATGACTGGAATTTGAACCTGAATATCCACACGTTAATATGTCAGCAATGTTTGTGCTGAAGATTATAGTCATGTACAGCTTGCAGAACACTGCAACAACTCACACCATCAATTTTTGAGACAAGCAGATGTAAGCTATCCACATTAGCGGTGGGGCAGGTGTTACACACACAGACACACATGTGTTTATATATATATATATATATATATATATATATATATATATATATATATTTATATAAATAAAAATATTACACAATGAGTGCTGGTGGTAATAATAAAATGGTGCTCCTCAATGTAAAATAACAAAACTATAATTTATACTAAGAATAAATATAGTTAATTTTCTTATTATTGAATATAAGTTTGGTTTGGTTTATTTTGTTTAATGGCATATCAACCTCAATGGGTTTTTTAATGCTGACAACATTTTTAGGATAGATTCGTATGAATAGAGTATGTATTCTTTGGTTTAGATTGGTTTGGTTTATTTTGTTTTAAGGCATATCAACCTCAATGGGTTATTTAATGCCGACAACATTTTTAGGATAGATTTGTATGAATAGAGTATGTATTCTTTGGTTTAGATTGGTTTGGTTTATTTTGTTTTAAGGCATATCAACCTCAATGGGTTATTTAATGCTGACAAAAATTTTTATTGCTGGTAATATTTTGTTTTGTCAAAAATCTCTTTCTGGTAATATATTTCCTTCAAAATTGTATTGCTGGTAATAATTTTTTTCAAAAAAGTATTGCTGGTAATAGTTAACTATTTGCCCATAGCTGGGACCCTAACAGGTGCTACTACCTCGGGTTAGGATGGACTTTGGAAAACCAGCAATTTAGAGGTGGTTCCATGCTTCTCAGAACCTCTTGATCAGAGGCCTTGCTGCTGGGTGTAGTTTAATGTCTTACCCAGGATGCAGATGTAGTTTAACGTCTTACCCAGGATGCGGATGTAGTTTAACATCTTACCAAGGATGATATTGAATATAAGCACTTCAGGAAGAGAAAGGCTCTATGATGTGAAAGGAAATTATTATTTTTGAAAAAAGGCATGAAACCTTCAATTTTTAGGTAATTCTTTGAAATTCAGTGGCTGACCAGATACACACATTGTATCATAGTTGGAAGGATTATTTTTGTTAGTGAGGTTATTTGACAATGTCCATCTCCTTTTCAAGTAATATAGAACAGGTTGCAAAGAAAAAAATCTCTGGTCTAACTATTGTGTGTGTCTATATGTATATATAATTATATATCTATATATATATATATATATATATATATATATATATATATATTTTTTTTTTTTCTTTAATAAGATTTCTCAAATATTCAGGCTGGTAGATGAAAATGAATAAATATATAGTTTAATAAATAAATGGAATGCCTACTCAAATACAAGTATCCACTAAAAATAACATTTAAGTAATAAAAATCTGTTGGATTAAAAAATCAAAAATCTATCCCTTTCTTAACAAATTGCTTTGTTTATGTTAGACATATCTGCTCAGTCTCATATCCTATTTCAAGAGTCAGAGAGAAATCTGTGTATAAAGTCATTATTCAACTTTGCTTGGTCATCAATGAACTCTATAGTCAAGAGGTTACAGCCATGTCAGATTTAACAATGGTTTTTTCTAGAGGATTACAGGTTTAAATCCTGCTAGAGAGCGCATATTTTCATCGAATAAGATTGGGATATTCAGGCCGGTACATGAAAATAAATAAATGTGCTGCTTAATAAATAAACAGAGTATTCATTTAAAATAATGTTTAAGTAAT